CATAGGTTTTGTAGGGTAAGAATTGCTCTATCGGAATATGTTTTAGCCGTACCGATTCATCATGATACCGCGGAGATTCAAGCACTTAAAAAAACAGGTAAAAAACCGTTTTTTGAAATTCAACAGCTCATAACTTCTTCAGAATTGCACGAATCATGTTGCGACTTCATAGGTTGGATTCTCCTTTGCAAGAGCTTTCGATGATGTATAGTATGTGGGGGTTTCGCGCCCCTCACGGCATATGCCCGGGGTGGAGACTTTTCACCCCAAAGTCTCCACTAGCGGTCTCCGGCCAATACATTAACATGGCGAGGTGGAGACTTTGAGGTAAAAAGTCTCTACCCTAGGTCAGGGCCGCAAAAATCATTGATTCCCCACATATTATATAACGTCTGAAAGCTCTTGCAAAGGAGATCCAATCTATGAAGTGACAACATGATTCGTGCAATTCTGAAGAAGTTATGAACTGTTGAAGTTCAAAAAACGGTTTTTTACCTGTTTTTTTTAAGAGCTTGAATCTCCGTGGTATCTTGATGGATCGGTACGGTTAAAACATATTCCGATAAAGCAGTTCTTACCCTACAAAAACTATGAAGTCGCATTGCATACCTGCACATTTCGGATTTATAGGAGTCTAAACGCCAGCTGTCGCTAAGTAACCTTAAATCGCTTAATTTTTCAAAATTCTCGTTTTCGGCGATCACTGCTCAGATCCATCTTATTCTTTCACCGTCTGGTAGAACTACACTTGCCCTTCAAAACCTACGAAGTCGCAATTGCTGACATCTTCAACCATCAGATTTATAACAGTGGAAATCTCGCATGATTTTTTCGCTACTTTATCATTCGAAATTCTGCTTATCGGCGGTTACTGCCTAGATTTACCTGATACGTAGATGCTCTCAATACTTTCTTTTGTGTTTCTTTTGCTTGTTTTCCTTCTCTTAAGCTTCAGCAAAAAAAATTTTTTCAAACTCAAAAGTGAAGGTGGTCACCCCGTACCAGCTCAAAAGTGTACGTAGGCGGAGACTCGGCTCCGACTATCGCACCTCTGGTCCCGGCCCTTCTCATGCACCTGATTCCAAATGCGAAGTCGAGAATCCACGGAAACCCCCACAATCTCCGTTTCGGGGAATGCGTGGGGTTATCGAGGTGAACGGCGATTAGTTGGGCAGATACGGATGGGCGGGCATTACTGGGGGGGGGGGTGCCAACTTCGGGTCCTCGTGCCTCTTCGTTATTCCGAAGAGATTTTCTTGCTTAGGGTGTATGGTGCCTTTATCACAGCACGCAGTGTTGTCAAAAATACATGTGCCGCGACGGGTGAGGGAGTAACCAAACTCATCATGGCATGGTGGTGTCAACATAGCAGAGACATATTTTTAAGTATCGGGGAACATTGCAGTTCTTCTTCCATTACAACGAACATGTGAGCTTGCCTCTCACCGTGAGGCTTCACAATTTTTCACGGTTTATCTATAAATTCAGCTGCCTATATTTTTTTGAAAGGAGAAAATAAATAATTTCTGGTGCTAAATTCTACGCCAAAAATCGTGCTTCTGGAGTAGTCCGCTTTTTAATTTGAAAATTTGGAGAAATCTGCGGAATTGATCACACAGGAAGGTACATGAAAATCCTTTGATCGGTAAGCATATATCCAAAGACTTTGTGATGCAGCATAACTCGGATTGCGTTCAAAAAAGTTTTGTCCGAATTCTCCATCGCGCACTTCGAAGGATTGAGTGAGATGAGAGAACTTTTGAGATGCTGGAAAAACAAGGATGATGCCTCCTCCAATAAAACTATTCTCAGCCTTGGCTAAATTTTATACACTGTAAAGTTTGGCCCGCTTTAGCATCATCTTCATCCGTAAAATAGAGAGTGTTCTCCCATAACTGGCCACGGACATTGGAAATGCCATCCTTGATTGTTTGTATTTGTTTATCATAACATGATAACTTACATGAGATAGTCTGTCAGATTGGACAGAGCGAATATACAAGCTTTTCGACCAGCACCTTCAGTCTGGAAGCTTGAAAGTTGAAGAGTAGTATGACGAACCTAAACGTGATTGGCTTGACACACCTACAAACCATGAGTTGACAGAAGAAGGGTTTTTGTTAGACTGCTCCACGTCCGGCAACGCGTATGCTGCAGAGCTTGCGCAGTGATAAGAGTTGGAGTCATTGTAACTCGGCGCATGTAGGTCGCGTACGTCGCATAATCTGGCCAGACTCTTAGTAAAGTGCTTTGCTATTTTATCTTTACACAAGGTCCGTCACAAAAGCGGCCCCTAAGAAGTTTACGAATCAAGTTTCTCTTCCTTCGCGAAAGTACTCTATTGGCATACTTAGGTGAACACATACATGAAATTGGAAACCGCAGCAATGATAACTGAAAATGGTTGCGAAACCTCTTCCATGAAATAAGCCTAATGTGATTTCCTATCATTTCTAATCTGTTGTTTTCCTCAATCAAATTTTGCCGCTTGAGGGCATAAAATTGATAGTTCTGTCATGAACTGATCGTAAACTACTGAGCACTGAGAGGAAGTATACATTGAGGGTTCGATGAGCCTCTATCTGCAGCACTTCTGATTTTTCACATTCTTTGAAATGCTGACTTCAAAACGGAACTCTTTTTACAGAAAACCTTGCAAATCATCTAGAAGCTTTTTTCCTAGTTTCTCACTTTCGCTTTTTTTCTTAATATTGAGTCCTTGTCCTTCACTCCTTGTTCTAGATTGGCGAAGAGGAATTTCTCAAATACGAGCAAATGATCACCACTTATACGCAGAAAGCCAGGTGCATGTTGGTGCTGTTCTTTTGCACCGTGAAATCTGATTGGAAAACTATGCAAGACCTTTGCTTGTAGACTTAAGACATTTGATAGTAAGAAAACGGAAACCTGTCGATGTTTCTAGTGTAAAAGAATTAGAAAAGATCAAAAAAGGCGATCATTTTGTTTAATATAAATCAGATTGTTATTTCGTATCTTTTTGCATAATCTTCTACAACAAATTTCCAGTGATTTGATGGAGATTTGGTGAGCACAACGAATCAAGATGAGGTCAAAATTCTAAATGGGAGTTCTTGGCACCAGAAATACTCCAAACAGCAGTTCATGTCTGTCTGAGCGTAGATGATGCTCTTATCTCTTTATGTTTTAGAAAGCCACCGTGCCAAAGTTCTCAAATTAGCTTAGGATATATATGCGTAACAGAGAAATGGAGCTTACCCGTCAAGAGCGTGAAATAGCAACCAGACAAACGTGGTATTCATTATTACAAACCAATGATTAGTGAACACTGGACTTATAAAATGATAGTCGACAAAAGCCAGCAAAAACAATCCATTTTGGCAAAGCGTCTGTGTACAAAAACCGGCGTTAGCTCAGATAGGTCTCGGGCAGACTTCACGCGATTTAATCGATGCGATGATCGAGTTCACGCGATTTAATCGATATCGATCAAGACAACTGTTACGAGTTCATTGCATGCCGACCAGCTGCATTTCGTTTGGATACTTTTCCAGCCCGAAATTTTTGAATGTAAAATGAAAATGAATGGAAATTGCGGCGATTGAATCGCGACGATCAAATCGCGTGAACTCTGTCCGAGGCCTTAGACGGATCGAAACGATTTTGGAAGATTGAGATTTTTTATCGTTTCTAACACGAAAATCACCTGTTTGAAAAACTTGACTTCTATACGACGTCTTCTCTGAAGATCATTAGAAATGAATATACCTGCGGTTGCCGATGTGACCTTAACCAGACATAGGATAAGTTGCAAAATTACAGAAAATTATTGACGACATGAAACCTTTTTGTATCTGATGTATTTAGTCAAGGCAACGACATCTAAGATTGGTGTGATGATCAGAAACAAAATCTTGCTTTTCTCAAAGTAAAAAAGAATCTCGCCGCAGAGACCATCAGAAAACCTCCATTTCCACTTGATGCGGTCGTAGTATATGTAACAAGAGGTCCCTGCATGTTACTGTTGCTGTTACTTTGCTTGTTATCGAGGTGAGCATACTCACTCCAAAAAAGAGGGACGGCTTGGCAGAATCCGAGACACCAGATCAAAAGTACCATATAGATCGTTGCTTTCCTTGTAAGTAACTGAGTTGCTTTGAATGGTAATGCAATCGCTATTACGCGATTCAGTGATATAGTCAAGTGAGAAAGAACGGTTGCATTCCAAAATATCATGGTAAATTGTCCCACAATCTTGTCGATGAGTGGAGGGGCAGTTCCGTATGTCTTAAGAATCTAATCGATTTGCTTTCACGGATGTAAGTCACTACCTGAGCGTAATTGATGCCACCCAGAAAAAGGCAAGCGATATACCGAAACTGGACATAATGTGGGATAAACACAACATGCAAAAAGGATTCTTTCGAGCCGGGTGGCACAGCATAGATATGCTTGCAAGAGAATTTGAAACTGTTCCGAGAGTGCTCATCTAAAAATTGATTCGATGCTAAGCCGCTAAGCATTCACAAACCTTTACCACGACCTAATTCTTGTGCGAAGTAACGATGCTTTAAGAGTGAACTGTTCGCGAACCTCCTTTACTAATTCAAAAACCTGTCAAAGGTATCGTAATTCCATGGGCGTCTTGGCAGGGTACTAATCAAAAGGGTTTTTTGCTGACGAAGGGGCGCCGAACCAAATTCAGCTTTCCGCAACAGCCTTCATTTGACTCAAATGGACATTTTCTTGATTAATAACAGTTTGAAAACCGAGTTTTTGCAGTAATTGGTACTAGTTCGACGTCTTGATGTTAGTACGCCATCATAGTAGCCAATGAAGGTCATATCTGCGCCTTCAGTCTCGGAAGAGCTACTGGTGAGGCAGCCTCGGTGGCAAGATTGTACTTTGGGCTGCCGAAGAAACAATGGACAACGATGACAATAATGAAGTACTCCAAAAGTTTTAATTTGGCTTTATTGATTGGCCACCATAACTCACCATAACTCACCATAACTTACAGAATGCTGTTCGAAAATCAACTCAGGTAAAGTTCGATTTAGAGAGCACATGGACATGGGATCGTCCAACGAATGATTCACTCGGAGATTGACCACATTTTCACCGAAGGTGGAGCTTGCTTGATGTGATATCGTCTCTCTTACGTGCAGTCACCAAATCTGGTTAACTTTTACTCTGCTCCAACCAAGCTTAGACACTCCCAAACAAGATTCTAAATACCTACAAACTCGATAATTTTGATAACGATTATTGTAACGACTATTTTATTCGTGAACAACACATCTCCCCCCTTCACCTCAACCAAGTTTGGGTCATCGCAATATTGTGAGACTCGAATATTCTCATCATAGCATCAACTGCAGTTACTGTGGCAAAGTTAGCACAAAATGCCACTTGCAAAACATTGTTGCACAGAAGACATTGTTTGATGTCCAGTCCTCCAAACATGTGAATCCCGGAGTACGTGTCATGCGTGCTGGCGCTTTTATGTTAGCGCGATACTTGTCTCGAGAGATAAATTGTGAACAGAGCTTGGAGAGGAAACATTGCTGACGTAATGGGTTAGCGAAGCCCTCGGAGACTTGTGCTTGTCTTACACAGTGGGTTCCCACAGAATACACTGGGTAGTGAAACCCATTGCGTTCGTGGTATCACATAACTCCTTATGCCCCATAGCAAGGGGCTTTCTATGAACGCCTCATCAAGTCGATCAAACAATCATTGCATAAAGCCTTCAGAGGAAAAGCTGTGCGGTCCAGAGATCATTTGCACACAATTCTCACGGAAATCGAAACATGTCTAAATTCTCGACCATTGACTTATCAGAGTTTCTCCCAAGAAGAATTGACAGCAATACGCCCTATCGATTTCTACCAGAAGAATTTGGAGGTAACATTTTCATTGAGAGGAAAAGCCAAAACCACAGAAGATACCACATATTTGCCGCCTGAAGAAGCACGAGCATTACGAACGCGCCGTGACGCGGAGGAAGCGATTCAGTCATCATGCAAATTCACTGAACAGTTTTGGAAAGTGTGGCAACATCATTACTTGACTAGCCTGCAAGAACAACAACTAAGGAACATCTCAAGAAAAAGACTTGGACAAGAAACTCCCACAGTGGGGTCGATAGTGCTTATCAGCGACCCAGTCTTACCAAGAAATTCGTGGAAATTGGCACGTATAACGGATATTCGACGTGGAATAGATGGTGTAATTCGAGAGGCAGAGCTAGTGACCAGTAACAGACGTAAAGTTAGACGACCAGTGAATCTGCTAATTCCACTCGAAATTGTCGACGACATCAGCGAGACGACAGATAAAGAGTTAACGTCGTCATTGAATGAAAATTCAAAAGAAGAAACGTTGGAGAAGCCCTATAACCTCAGATCCCGGCAGATGAGCTGTAATGTAGAGAATGTTGTGACGACCACAAGAAGAAGAAATCCGCGCAACTCAAGAACGAAATGGTTTCTATTCTATATTATGGTCCTGACATTAACTACTCTTGTATGAAGAATCTCTACTACATGGTACTATATATACTATATATCGCTGCTTATCTATATGTATACTATACTATATATGGTTGCTCATCTATATATGTAATCTATATTGGTGCGGTTCTCTTTTGGTACAATCATAAGAAGAATACACCTGCAAAAAAAGTTCTTCCAAAAAGCTTGAAAAATTGACTTTGCCTTGAAAAATCACCATTTTTGAGCAAGTATTTTCAAAGTCTTTCGTTCTGCACAGGGCTGACCAAATCTTTGACTGCGAACATTGTTGGGGTATTGCCTTACACATCTTTTAGACCCATCATCCAGGTGTGACGATCCCAGCAGAAACGAAGTCAGCTGCGAAAGAGTGGTAGTCAAAAAAAAAAGTTCAACAGCTTGTAATTTCTGAGCGCAAGTCGCAAAACTCAAGTGCAGATGCGGATCAGAAGTTAACGGGCTCCTCAATCAGATTACTCATAACTTGAACGAAATTCTTTGAACTGCCAAAGAAAATCTGTGAAATTTCTATGATTGGAAAGATTTTCTTTTGATGTGCAGATCAAACAGATGTTTTAGCATCGATAAAGATCACGAGCAGTTTTGAAAAGCTTAGGCATCCTTCTACAGAGCAGTGTAAAAAATTGGTGTCAAAGTCCGACCAAGGGGCAAAAAAACGCGTCTGAATATGAAATTCCAAAAGTGCCCGGAAACTTTCTTTACAACCTAACAAATTAACCTCTAACAAGGGAAGGCTACTTGGTGATCGTGGCCAGTCATGATGACTTGCAAATCAAAAAATGCGCCTTTTAATGCCGGTCCAAAAACTGTCTTCCATGTCTGCGAAACGATAACATTGATGGAGTTACGATTATTTTTTTATAAATAAATTCCGCTACTGCGGAGGGTCAAAATCATTATTAAAAATTATTCTTTGCTTCTCAAATGCTGAATATGATTTAGATAGGTGTATTACAACAGTAATCGTTATAAAATTCCTTTCAATAGCTTCAAACGGCAACCTAGAACGAATTTGCTGGTTTTAACTACTCAAAAATACGCAAATTCCCTACGAAAAAAGTTCATAACTTCCTTCAGAAAAACGTTTCGCAGATATCAGGCAGAGATTCAGAATTAGCGTTTCGAGATGCATCTTACGGTATACATCCCATTTCCAATAACCACGGTCACCGAGTATCCTTCCCTTGTAAGTTATCAGTTGTAATCCTCAGTTTAAGCGAAATTTTGAGATAGGTACGCTCTGCAAATTCCATGGCTAATCACATCCAAAGACAATTTGTGGTTGCATTTTTTAGTTCCATGGGGTTTTAGACAGGTAGAGATTGTTGCGTGAGATGAAGTTTTATCTGCTTTTGTGAGGTGGGCTTTCTTTCCTCTACTGATGGCTATTGGAGTGGCGCATAACTGGACCCTATGCCTTTGTTTTGTTGGTCCCACAAGTCTCCAACATGATGACCTTACACATTGTTGGTTTGGAGTCCTGACTTTCGAATGTGTACATCTTGATTCTTGTGAAAAAGAGCTATCCAGATTAAATCTTTCGCTAATTCCAGCGAGATGCAGCTTGTAGAGTTTTGATTCTGAAGAACAACTGTTTTGCTGTCTGCTTCTAAAGTCTCTCTTTTCAGTTACTCCTCCTGTTCTTTTTCTGCATTTAAGGTCCATATTAGATGTGCCTCAGCCTGCTGCGCTCAAGCCTTGTGTTCTACTTGGTGTAGTTGTAGTATTTTGCCTCAAAAACGTTTGTTTTGTATATATGTGCCTGTGGTCATCGATAAAGCACTCCTTAAATCTCTTCGCATCTCGTATTGGACAAAAGTGTGATGTTTCTCTCCAATGCAGGATTTGCAGCCAATTTCCATGCAATGTTTTAAAGGCAGTTTGAGCATTTGAAACATGGCTTGTTTTTTTCGAAGATTCCGCCGATGTTCGAGCGATGCGTACTTTGAGCAAAACAAAGCACGATGATGTGCTGATTTGCGAAACATGCATATTAACAAAATATTATAAACTTCAAGTCTGTTGTGCCGTACAAGTTTATTATGGTGGCAGATTTATTGGTACTGGCCTAACGTTTCAACGCTTTCGTCGTCCTCAGAAGCCTGAAAACGACTCAAGGCATCATCCGTAATACCAGACCACCAAATATCTCCTCTAACTCAGCCAGTTTCGACTTCATTCCGACTTCGCGTCGCAAAAACTCTCAAGACAGATATACTCACCCTCTCACCACCGCTGTTCGAAATGTTCGCACGACTGGATGTGACAAAAGTTGACGGACAAGTGAGTGATACAGTAGAATGCGCATCAAGACGTTATCCACTATCTACAACTCACACAGTGGCATATACGGCAGAAACTCGGCGGTTATAAACAGGCACTTATTCTTATTATTCATTTCTAGAATCTTTGCAGATATCCAGAAAGCCTCTAGAATCTTCCTAGCCGTAATATCTGTCTCAAACGCCAAAATTTTGCATTTGACTGCAAAATCATTTCCCTCATGCGCGTCACTCCTATGTTTGCCGAATGGGGTTACTAAACTCTTCCGTCTCTTACCTGCCAGAGATGTTCTTTTAAGCGTACGCTTAACACTCTACCAGTTTCGCCAATATATTTTGCTTTGCATTCGAGGCATTCGAGTTGGTATACTACTCCCACCCTGGCGCAGTCACCTTCTCTGCTGTTTGGACACACAATGCAATTCTCCATTATACATTGTCGATCGTAAAGGCGATTACGGACAAGCTGTTTTTTGAGATTGTCGTTCGGTATGTTAACCAAAACAACATCGTCTAGTAGCTGTGCCCGCGAAATGCATTGTTGGAAGGCAGAGCTGACTTTATCTGAAATGAACGGGAGGCGAGTTTGTTTTCGATTCGAGTGCGGTCCTTGCGTAAACGCTGTTGACGATTGTGACGTTGCGTCGCCGAAATTGCATAGCCATTACTGCGGGCGATACAATGGCTATGGCTATTTCGGCGACGCAACGTCACAATCGTCAACAGCGTTTACGCAAGGACCGCACTCGAATCGAAAACAAACTCGCACTCTGCCTCCCGTTCATTTCAGATAAAGTCAGCTCTGCCTTCCAACAATGCATTTCGCGGGCACAGCTACTAGACGATGTTGTTTTGGTTAACATACCGAACGACAATCTCAAAAAACAGCTTGTCCGTAATCGCCTTTACGATCGACAATGTATAATGGAGAATTGCATTGTGTGTCCAAACAGCAGAGAAGGTGACTGCGCCAGGGTGGTAGTAGTATACCAACTCGAATGCCTCGAATGCAAAGCAAAATATATTGGCGAAACTGGTAGAGTGTTAAGCGTACGCTTAAAAGAACATCTCTGGCAGGTAAGAGACGGAAGAGTTTAGTAACCCCATTCGGCAAACATAGGAGTGACGCGCATGAGGGAAATGATTTTGCAGTCAAATGCAAAATTTTGGCGTTTGAAGCAGATATTACGGCTAGGAAGATTTTAGAGGCTTTCTGGATATCTGCAAAGACTTCAGAAATGAATAATAAGAATAAGTGCCTGTTTATAACCGCCGAGTTTCTGCCGTATATGCCACTGTGTGAGTTGTAGATAGTGGATAACGTCTTGATGCGCATTCTACTGTATCACTCACTTGTCCGTCAACTTTTGTCACATCCAGTCGTGCGAACATTTCGAACAGCGGTGGTGAGAGGGTGAGTATATCTGTCTTGAGAGTTTTTGCAACGCGAAGTCGGAATGACGTCGAAACTGGCTGAGTTAGAGGAGATATCTGGTGGTCTGGTATTACGGATGATGCCTTGAGTCGTTTTCAGGACGACGAAAGCGTCGAAACGTTAAGCCAGTACCAATAAATCTGCCACCATAATAAACCTGTACGGCACAACAGAGTTGAAGATTATAAGCAATGCCCAGGTTTAAAAAAACGGAACATGGAAATCATTAACAAAATATTTATTTTTCAAGGCGTAGTTGACAATCTGAGATATTATTCCCATGCTCCCTTTTGCAGCCGGTTGATGGCATAATCAAGTTTTTTAAAATAGAATGGGTACCTCTTTATCGTTTCTTTTGCTTCTCCTCTCAATGCACTAATCAAGTAGTATCTTTTGCAACTCTGTCAACGGCTGGCCGTTTGCCTCAAACAATGTCCAAAAGTTCTCAAACTTCCACATTTTTCTTGTAAAGATTGGTATTGTAATAGCGGGTAACTTAGGTTTTGTGATTGCGCATTGCCCCTCATTTAGGCGCTGCTGTTCGCAGAGTGTAATTGCTTTTGGATACTGACCTCTGCCTTTAAATTGATAGCCAATGACCACGCTTGACCTAGACTTAACTGAGCCTTATCTATGTACTCCTGTGCTTGCACTTCCTGCTCAGTACTCATGCTACCACCTAGTGAATCTAGGGTAAGTGTGAAATTGGATATCTACCAATTTCATCTACCAATTTTGTGGTCTCGTTTGGTTCAAAAATTTGTTTCTACTCGCACTCTTGTTGTAGTTTCGGTGTAAAGCTTTGTATATATCTATGTACTCCTTACATCTATCTACAATTCCGTTCAGGTTATTGCGATGACGCGTCAAGAGAACTTTTTGTGTTTTGAGTGTTATGGGACCAGCCATATCAAACTTTTCGTGACCAAGACGGAGCTGTAGAAGTCTCAACGTGGTTTCAGAAAAATATGTAGCGATCAAAGAAAGCGATTGAAAATGTTTTGTTTTTGTAACTATAGGAAATATCAAAGCGAGAAGGAAGTGAATTTGTAAAAAGCGTACTCGTTTAATCTTTCCTCCTTGGTTGACGTTGAGGCCAATGCACCGGCTTTTGGTTTACAGCAGGGCTCGGCACGAGCTGGCACCAGAAATTTCAAAACGAAGTCCCGTTTGATCTTGAAAATTTCGTACGAAGTTCCCTTTGACCTGTTTTGAAAACCCGTCATCATTTTTAGATTATGTAAAAGTATGTAGTAGGGTTTTCATGCATGCTGATTTCAT